ATAAAATAGCCTCTAGCCAGTAGGCTTGATTAAAGGTCCGATATATTCATTCCCCTGACCCTCTACTAAACTATTCGGGGGAAATGAAAATGTCTCCTCCTCCCATACTCCCATCTGGGGTAAAGGCCCACAGAGTAGTTGTGATAAAGGGAGCAGTTTATTTTCCTCAACTGATGCTTGTAAGTAGTGTTCGGATGTCAGGGAGTTACCGGCTGACCTCCTTAAGGATGCTGAGCTGGACCCCTGAGAAAGGCCTCATCTCTCCTTGTGATGATGACCGATACCTGTGCCTGATGATTTAGATTGTTTTTCAAGCCTGCCCATTGTCTGCTTGTCCCAGAGGGGACCGTTGGAGCCCATGAGTGTTGGCCATTGTTGAGCGTGTTGATGAACCTCCAGGGTGGGCGGGCTGGGCGAGCCGCCCCTGGGCCATCAGTGGCCCCATCCACGCTGGTCTGATCACTTCCAGACCCTGAGCAGAGAAGGGGGACGGTATCTGGTCAACTTGGGCCAGTCTGACAACCCCAAAGGTAGGTTACAACCCCCCCCAAAATGCAGAAGAGCCCCTGGCTGCATTCGGGTGACTTCAGAGAACCAGAGCAGAACCCAGGACTCAACTCTTTTCAGTTATGCCCTTCCACCTTCTCTTTTTATGTCCTCCGAAAACAATAGCGGGTTTCTTTTAAAATAATAAAATGTTCTTTGGCTCTTTTCTCCCCTGTTCATTGATTTCACCTTTCACTCCTGTGTTTCCTTAACACTCTTATCAGAGGTGGAATGCCTCCTGAACTTGGTTCAAAGTGATTTTATTGCTGTGAGTGGACTTTTCCCTGGCTACCTGCATCCCTGATTGATTGCTATTTCTGAGCACCCAGAATGGATGCCGCAGGACGAGCCAGTCTGGGGTTCTCTCTCAGTATAGTTAATTAATGTGCAGAGCAGTTGAGAGCCAAAGCATCTTAGTGCCAACAAGTAGGATGTTAGAGCATGAAGATGGAGGAACCCTTTTTTTTTTTTTTTTTAAGTGCTGGAAACTACGTCGATACCCCTCAGAGTTACTTACAATTCATCACTGGGGTTTTTGCCCTTTGAGGCTTAGTTCAAGGAGTTCAGAGTATGTTTTTACTTTCTTCTCGCATTTTCTAGAACTGTGCTTTCTACAAGGGTAGCCGCTAGCCATATGTGGCTATTTAAATTATATAATATTAGATGAAATAAGCTTACTTCTTCAGCCCCGCTGTACAATTGTGTTTTAGCGGTCAGTGAACCTGCAGCTCCCGTATTGACCAGCATAGATACGTACTCTTTCCGTCATGGCAGCCTGTTCTGTTGGACAGTGCTGGGACTCGGGAGAACTCTGCCTTTAGAAACCGAGAAGACCCCACCGCCACTCCTGACCACCTTAACCAAGACCTACAACAGACTTGCCCCTTTCCGTGGGGATGGCTGGACTTCCAAATGAGACTGTTGTGGGTATTCATTTAGGGTAACTCTATAGGAGCATTTTCAGGGAAAAAAACATCTTTTTAAAGATTTATTTAGGGCGCCTGGGTGGCTCAGTTGGTTGAGCGACTGCTTTCGGCTCAGGTCATGATCCTGGAGTCCCTGGATCGAGTCCCGCATCGGGCTCCCTGCTCTGCGGGGAGTCTGCTTCTCCCTCTGACCCTCCCCCCTCTCATGTGCTCGCTCTCTCTCTCATTCTCTCTGTCTCAAATAAATAAATAAAATCTTTAAAAAAAAAATTATTTAAATTTTTTGAGCGAGTGCGCACGCATATGCGAGCGGGGGGAGGGGCAGACAGGGAGAGAGAATCCCAGGCAGACTCCCCGCTGAGCACAGAGCCCCACTCAGGGCTCCATCCCACGACCCTGCGATCTCGACCTGAGCAAAAAGCAAGAGTTGGGACACTCCACTGACTGAGCCACCCGGGCGCCCCAGGAAAAAAACATTCTTGCGCTTTCTAGTAGTAGTTCATAGATTGAATAAAGACAGTAAGTGTTTGGATAATTATAATAGTAGCAGCTGGTTTGTTTTTGTTTTGTTTTGTTTTTTTTTTGTTTAGCACACCTGCTGTGTCCCAGGGTTTTGTTCTAAACGCTTTCCAGGGTTCACGGTCTTGGTCTTCAGAATTAACCCCATGAGAGGTGGTACTACATGGTCTCCCTTTTTCAGTTGAGGCCTTAGAGGACAGAGAGGTTAAATAACCTGGCCTGGTGTCACACAGCTGAGTGGTTGAACCCGGGCCGTGTAATATCAACAGCCTCTCATCCCTGCAGGTGGCACCGAAATATCCAGAATGCTACCCCCCGTGAGGGGACGAACGAGCTGGTCAGGGTAGTGTAGGAAACACGCTATATATACAACCAAGAGGCTGCTTTAGGCTCTTAGACATTAGCAGGTTCTAATGAGCGTTCTATAGACTGGGCAGTGTAAAAATAAAAAACTTCTCCAAACAAAGTGATGGTTCTTCAGGCTGTGTTGGGGAGAGAACTAATCTTTGAGATCAGGACTTGGCAGACGAGGGCCCACAGGCTACATCCAACCTGCTCTTTCTGTTAATAAAACGTTATTAGACTACAACAGTGCCCATTTGTTAAGTATCCTCTGTAGCTGCTTTCTCATTATACTGCAGAGCTGGGGAGGTGTAACAGAGATCATGGGACCTGCAAAAGGTAGAACTTGGTTTTCTTAGCCCTGGACAGCAAAAGCGTGCTGAGCCTGGACTGGGTCCTATTCTCTTCGCATTTCAAAATAGCCTTTTCTGTTAGCGGCAGTGTATTTGTGCCCTTGAGACTGACCCCAAATGGTCCAAATTCAGTGTTTTCATTGCTGTTCACCACAAATGTGTACAGCCCCTGTTTTGCAGCAGGTACATCTGACTTGGTGCTGGTGGTAAATGTGGGATTAGAGCAACCCTCCAGGCGCCCTGTTTCAGTGACCGACTGCCCTGCCTGTGTGACCTCTGATGGGCGGGCTCCCAGCGCTCCGTGTGCCCGGACGCGTCCCCTCTCACTCTCACTCTCTGTGTCTGCCCTTGCCAGGAGACACGTGCACGCGAGGTGGTCCCCTAATGTGCTGTGCCTTTAAGATCGTGGCAGAGCGAGCTAAGATGGTAAAAACTAAAATTAAGTAGACTCCATATTTCCCATTACGAAGTTCACATAAATCAGGTATCTCCAAAATGTGTCTGTCAGGCGTTTTAAGAATCATTTATTTCTTTTTTCTTTTTTAATTTCTTTTTTCTTTTTTAATTTACTTTTAAAAAGTGTTATTTATTTGACAGACAAGAGAGCACAAGCGGGGGAGGGGCAGAGGGAGAAGCAGGCTCCCTGCTGAGCAGGGAGCCCCATGCGGGACTCGATCCCAGGACCTTGGGATCATGACCTGAGCCAAAGGCAGACGCTTCACCAACTGAGCCACCCAGGCACCCCAAGAATCGCTTCTTTTTCCTGATTATAAAAGCTGTGTATGCAGAAACTCTAGATGGGCCTAACCACAAGGAGAATCTCCCTCCCAAACCCCACCACCCAGAGGGAGCCACTGAATGTTTTCTTCCCCCCTATTTCTGTGTCATTGAAAATGGGTTTGTAAATAGCATTCTTTGGTGCTACATAATATTCCATCATCGAGATGCACTACAGTTTTACTCAGTGGTTCCCTTTTTCCTGGGCATTTAGGTTGTTTCCAACTGTTTGCTGTTTTCAATAAAACAAAATGACCGTCTTTGTCCCTGAATCTCCATCTGCATCATAGGTGTTTCCTTAGGATCAGATGCTCAGAAGTGCAGTTTACTGAATTAAAGACTGTTAACGTATTTAAAGCTTAAGAGATGTGCCCCCAAAGAAGAGGTCATACCATCTCTGACTTAACTTCCTTCTGGACCCCAGGCAAGACTGCACTAGTTCAGACAATCCTACGACAAAGACTCGGTGTTCAGAGGCTTAATGTGAAAATAGTGAATGAAAACCTCAGGCAAATGGGAGCACTTGACAATGATTTGCTTGGTGAATTGATACCTCTCTCAGGAATTTGACAGTTTTCCCAGGGTGAGTGTGGTTTGAATGCTCAGATATTTGCCTAGAGACATTCTCTGGGTCCCTTCCTCTAATTCAGAGTTTTCAAAACTCAGATGGGTGTAAGAATTACCTTACAGGTTTGGACACCCCAGGGCCTTGACACCTGCTGTCCTTCGTCCAGAACGTCCTTCCCACGGGGTCGTTGTCTTTACATGGGTACCACACAGATGTGGCTGCACTGGAGAGGCCTGGGTGACTGCCAAGTCACTGCCCCAACCCCCACGCCCACTTTATTCCCTGGGGAGTCCTTCCACTCTTTATCACTGCCTAGATTGGAATTTTATATATTTGTTGGTTTACTGCCTGTCTCTGAAACCCTAGGGCAGGATTCTCATCTGCCCTGCCCATGGTCTGACCTCCTTCACGTTACTCTGATTGAGTAGCTCTTACCCACAGGACCGTGTGCAAACAGGACTACAGATGGTGTCACAGGGATTCGCGGCACTGGCTGTACCCCCATATTTTGGTATGAGTGTGGCATTGGAGAGAGCCTGGAGAAGGAGCCTGTGACATCAGGAGCAAATGTGGGCGCTGAGGAGGAAGGCGTGGTGGTGGTCTTTATTTGTCACATGGGTTGTGCGTGTGACTCTGGGCCCCAGGCCCCTCGCTGTGTCACAGAGCAGCGCAGGGTCCCTGCAAAGCCACAGGGCCAGGCTGGTGCCCAGATCAGGCAGGTACATGCTTCAGTTGTGTAGACGTTAAACTCGGGGCTGCGTGTCGACCCCAGAGCCTCCCTCACACGTGGCACGGAAACACCACCCCAGTGTGAGTGTGGATGTTTGTGGGCTAGGTCCCTCTGTCGACAGGAATGAATGCCGTTCATGATGCGTGCGTTCGCGTCCCTGTGCTTGCCGCCGTCCCGGGCCACCTGGTCCGAACGTGGACGCACAGGTGCAGAGCGGGCCTTGGCTTTTCCTTCTCCAGGTCCAGTACTTACCACTCCAAGGGCTTTGACGTCACGGTCAAGTACACGCAAGGCAGCTGGACGGGCTTCGTCGGGGAGGACGTTGTCACCATCCCGAAGGGCTTCAATAGCTCGTTTCTTGTCAACATCGCCACGATCTTTGAGTCAGAGAATTTCTTTCTGCCTGGGATCAAGTGGAATGGGATCCTGGGACTCGCATATGCTGCTCTGGCCAAGGTAAGGCCAGTCTGGGGATCAAAGGTGGGACGAGTCAGACGGGCGGTGGGGGGGGTCCCGGCTGCAGGACACGGTTGGTTGGTGAGAGTTGCTTGGTGGAGACAGACCGTGGTCGCACAGTTAATTACGTTTTTAGGCATCTTAAAAATTTAAAGTGAATGATGCAGTTCTTTGAACCTTCCTGCCAAGATATACCCATGGCATTACTTTTTTTTTCATTTGTCTTTGTTTTTGCTTATTTTACTTCTGTAGTTTAAAAACGTTAACAGAATCTGAGTCACTTTAATTTTGGCATCGAAGTGTTTTTCTGAGGGGAGGATTAAAAGAAAACACCCTTATTAGATTCACACATTCTCATGGAGACGTGGAGCCTGTGGCTGGCCTGGAACCTCGGCTGGGGAGGCCCCCCACCAGGGGAGAGAGCATCGTGCTGCCTTCCCATGGCTGCGGATACCCCACAAGGAGCCACCTGGAGCCTGGGTAGGGCCTGAAATGCATGTCCCAGGGACTGCCAGCCATCAACCCAGGAGGGGAACGCGTGCAGCCCGTCCTCCCATCAGCATCAGAACTCGCACAAAATGGGAAAGACAGACTCTGCAAACATTTGTACTCAGACCAGCCCAAAGGAAGTGACGTTGGTGTGCCTGAGGGGGGATGCAGGTGGGGGAATTTCCACCAGGAAGGGAGCCGGAGATAAGCGGGTTAGATACCAGGGCATGGCCTGGAGCAGAGCAGAAGGCGGTCACCCCTCCTGGCCTGTAACGGGCACCGCACCTTGCCCTCTCATTGTTCGGTGCTCGGCTTGGAGCCAGAGAAGCATGGAACAAACAGAAGCAGGTTGGAGGACCCGCAGAGCCCCCCCGTGGTCCATGAGGATCCAGGAGGGAAGGCCTGTTTTCTCTCCCCGCAGGAATGTGCGTCCCAGCCCCAGTTCACTACTAAATGCTGCAGGGGGGTGAGGCGGGGAGGGGGTGGCAGGCAGGGGAGTTCTTGACCCTGTGATTTTCAAGGAGAGTGGGGCCCGTGAGGCAGGCGGGCTGAGGACATCCCACGACTTGGTTCCTTAGGTTCTGGTGAGCTTCGCAGGAGGCCAAGTTCTCCCGTTTTAGGGATATGCCGACCGAGGTCAGAGAGGTTTACCCTCCTCGCCCGGAGCCTGGGGGGCTGTGGAGCCCCTTTCTTCTCAGTACCATAGGGTGAGCTTAATATGAACTGTGTAGACTCTTAATAACATACATTCCTCAGTACAATTTCATGGACAGTGTGACCGAGGACAAAACATTGCATTGTTACCTGACTTGGACGTGAAAGGTACAAACATGATTGGTTTTATGCTGATTATCAGGAAGATGGCAGAATAAAGCTAAATTGCCCGCAATGGATGATACTGATAATAAGCTTCCTCGCAAATAATGACTTTGGGGTCCCTAGGGGTGGCCAGACTCGCCACACGACCTTTTTGTGTGTGGAATTCCAAGATGAAGATGATCGGCTTCCTGTCCCGGGTTTGAGGAGATGGTCACAGGATTGGGAGGACGTGGCACGTGGTTGGGAACAGGGCTAGCAGGGTGGTGTGGCTTGGTGGGCCAGAGCTGTGGCTGAAATAGGTTGACCGAGTGCTCAGTGGTGGCCACGGCGCGTGGCGGCCCCCGGTCAGTCCCGGGGATTCCTGCTGAGGATGTGCGTCAGACCCTGCCCTCCGGGGTCTCCCACGCCACCGATGCCTGGGTCCAACTGCACACATACGAGTCGGGCTCTCTTGGGTTGACCCTGGCACCTGTATGTTTTTAAACCTCAAGAGGGATCCTGAGGAATAGCTCGGCAGAATCATAATAGATCCCTTACTGTGCGCCAGGCACTGTTCCAAGGCCTTTGTGTGTACTGGCCCATTTAAGTCCCAGGAGCAGCTCTGGGAGGCTACTGTTTCCCCATCTCACAGATAAAGAAACAAAGAAACAAGTCACGCAGTGAGCAAGTGGCGGAGCCAGAATTCAGTCCCAGGTGGTGTGGACTCTGCTGCCTCCCAAGCAGGTGGCCGGGAGAACGGCGGCCTCGGTCAGCGGCACATCCGGCCACTCCGGGAAGGGGGGGCCTTGTCCCGTCATCCACCCAGATGCCACGCGTGCTGCCCATGTCACCGACGAAGCTGGTGCCGAATCCTGCCAGAGATTCCACGGAAGCAGGAGGAGGAAGCCAGACGCAACCGAGTTAAATAAGTGGGAAGATTTCTACCTGCTAATGGGCTGTGGTCTTACTCCCTCCAGAGTTACAGTTTTCGTTCCTACAGGCAGTAAATAATAGTCCCGACGTTGACCGCTGGTGGTCAGAACGTGCCCGCAGCGTCTGTACCACTCCAAGTATGTTTCCATCGGGAACCAGCAGCTCAGAGAGATCCAGATATCCCGGGCGTCAAAGCCAAAATTTACACGCAGGTGTCTGACTGGCCCTCGGGACCGGCAGCCCTGGAGGCCCACCCCCAGCTCGGAGCTGCTCGCACAACCACCCCTCTTCCCTTTGAGCCCTGGAGACATGGGGGCGCCCCGAGTGAGTGCTGGCTCCGTGGAAGGAAGGCACAGGCCACTGAGGTCCACTGAACGGTGGCGGCTGGGAATCCGGGGCTTTTCACCCTCAGGGGTGTGGGACTGTTCTTTCCTGCTGTTTTTCTGCTCGCTGGAGGTCAGCGGGGTCTGGGGTCTGAGAGGTCTCGTGCTCAGCACCTGTCATTGGTGTGTGGCAGACGACCGTGGCCGGGAGAGGTGAAGCATGTTTTCTGAAGCCATGAAGGCCGCTCCCAGAGACGCTTCTCTCCTCGCTCTGGCTGAGATGAGAGTCCACCGCCCACGTCGGTGACCCACTTCCACGTCTCGTGCCTGCATCACAGGGCATCGTGGTGATAAGTGGGACGACGTCCTAACTCCCCAGCAATACCGTCTTAGGTTTGCATCTCAGCCTTGCGCAGGGTCCATGCAGATCTTCTCTGTCTCGTTCCAATTGTAGAAGTACTATCTGATTTTTCCAACAGAGTCGTGCACAGAGGGAATGCACTGCGTAGTAGGAAGGTCTGTTGGTTTCTGAATTACTGCCCTTGATCAGAAGCTTGTTTGTTGGTTCACCGTGAAAAGAATTAAATACAAAGAAAACCATTTTGTACCTCATGCCCAGTGTCTGCTTGGGGTCAGTCCTCATCTCAGCTGCTGTTCTTGTATCTCCTGCAGCCGTCAAGTTCCCTGGAGACGTTCTTCGATTCCCTGGTGGCCCAGGCGAAGATACCCGATGTCTTCTCCATGCAGATGTGTGGGGCGGGGCTGCCTGTAGCTGGATCTGGTACCAACGGAGGTAGTCTTGTGGGTATCTTTTAGTCTTAAAGGGGGAAAAAAATCGCAAATCGGGTAGCTTTTCTGTTTTATGAACACCCTGGTGGAAATATTAGACACAGAAGCATACATAAGTACTGTGGAATTTTGATAACCCTTGTTATAGAATCTTTAAAAAAAACTGGGTAAAATTAGGTATTATTTTTATCTTTCCTAATTATCCTGCCAGCCAAAAGATGATTCTCAATGCTTCCCCAAATTCCATTAAAGCTTTTTAAAATGTTTCCCTTGAAGGGTAACTTTTTGGCAGGTGAGGGAGGGGCAAGTGAGGAACCGTAGGGGGTGTGGCAGGTGGGCCTTACCCAGGGTTGGCCGCCAGTTGAGGGAAATGCTGACGGTTTCCTAAATTTGGTGTAGAGACAGGGACACCTGTATATCCTTTCTTTGCACACACACACACACACTCACACACTCACAGCAGAAAGTTTTCTAGTGAAACAGAAACAGATCAAGGCCACCAGCCTTGTGGATGTGCTGAGGCTGTGTCCCCTCGATGGACCCTGCACCCAGATGTCTCAAGCAGGAGGTGACAGGGACAGTGCACGAGAAGGGCCCCTCAGGGCAGGTGCTGACAACCCCCTAGTTATCCAGCTATGAGAAGCAGACACTCAGTTGCTTTCATTTGCTTACACTACACCCGACCTTAATACCTTATTTATCCCCCTTTTCAGGACAGAGGACAGCCTAGGATTTGTGGGGCAATGTTTTATAGTTTTGCAACATGAAATTTTGATGAGGGAAGCTCCTTTGTTTTGCTTTCCATGCAAATGTGTGAGATTGCAAGTCCTCCTCTTGTCTTCCAAGGAACTGAATTCTTGTCCGTCAGCGTGGCTCACTATTTTACTTCATTTGTTTGGGGGCGGATCTCAGTATGGTAAGGCTAGAATTGTAGGTACTTCCTTTATAGAAGGGAAACCACCAGAGCATCTTGATCAGACGAGGATATAAGATTGTTTGCCGTTTGGATACATGGCCCCCAAACGTTCCCTGTTTAATTTTCAAGCATGTATGTTTTGTAACATCATCGTAATGTGCAGGTACTGATTCCAGTGAGGATTCACCTTCTGATTGTATGCTTCTCTGTGTAACCTGTTGATATGCCTCCATATTTTTTCTCTTACACCCGTAAATATTTTTCTTCTCAGGTCCTGGGTGGAATTGAGCCGAGTTTGTACAAGGGAGACATCTGGTATACCCCTATTAAGGAGGAGTGGTATTATCAGATAGAAATTCTCAAGTTGGAAATTGGAGGCCAGAGCCTGAATCTGGACTGCAGAGAGGTATTCACATTGTGATCTCTTTGTGTCTAGGTGCCTGGGTCACTTTACTACTGTAGTTGGGACCCAAATAGGAGATTAGAAGGTAGAGGGATGCCTGGGTAGTGCAGACAGTTAAGCATCTGACTCTTGGTTTTGGCTCAGATCGTGATCTCAGGGTCCTGGGATGGAGCCCCGTGTTGGCTCTGAGCTCAGGGGGAGTCTGCCTGGATTCTCTCCTTTCTCTGCCTGCACGCCCCCCCCGCCCCCGCCACAGTGTGCACGGTCTCTAAAATAAATAAATAAATCTTAAAAGAAAAAATTAGAAGGTACATTACAAGATAAATCAAAGATTCATTACATTAAAAGTTACAGGGGCTTTTTGTATGAAAATAAACTCCTCCTTCCAGAAAACTTGCTTCCTTCCGGTCACTTGGCTTCATAGGGAAAAATTAGCATAAAATGGTGTGTGTGAAGAGCACTGTCCAGCCCCTTTCACTGTTCCCCTGGGCCTGATGTTTCCTGGACTCTGTTTAAGAGGATGGAATAAGCAGGCTTTCATCAGTGCAAGGGCGAAAACGACTAGAAATAAGCAAAAGGAAACTCAAAATAAACCATCAGCTTTATCTTCCATTCATGCCCCCCGCCACTCACCTCTCCCTCCAGGACAAGTGATGCTCTGAAGAGCAGTGTGTCCCGACTGTCCTGACAGGAGGCAGACATGCAGAGCTAGGGCACTGAGTCATACAGGAGCCCCGGTCACACCCTGTCTGCATTGGGCTTACTTGTGGCCATAATGACGTTATGATGAGGACAGCTTGCGGGGGTCCGTCTCCCACAACGTCTGCAGGATGGTTTATAAAAACCGCCAGCATTTCATTCTATTCCTACCTGCCCTCACCTCCTTTCTCACGAACCATCCCCGTCCACCACGGTGCCCATGTGCACAGATGCCTCTGAAACCCATCGGAGCTCAAGAGAGCGGTGTCCCCTCTCACTATGAGAGTGTCCAGTCCTGAGGCCACAGAGCTGGGTTTATTGTCAGAGGCACTTAGTTGCCACTAAAGAATCCAGTGGTAGAATCAAAAGAGAAGGCCTATAATACAACACAAATTCTCGTGTGTGCACACGTGTAAGATCCTCTTCCTGAATGCATCCTAAATTTCCATCCTAAAGTTCCACCCTAAATGCAAGATGGGGTGTCTGTTAAAAAAACTCCATCCTAATTCTCTGTGTCTATTCCTGGGATAATCGTTGATTCTATAGGATTTGTATAAATGGTAATTAATGTGTCATTTCAATCTGGAAAGACAAGGGGGTCTTCCCCCTTTGTTCTTGGGGGCTCCTCGACAGGGACGTCTGGGCACCTCCAAATGGGGAAATGTCTGCATGGGAGAGCTGTTGATTTTGGTCACGTCACTTCCCTTTCCTGGTCTCCGTCTCCTTATCTGGGAAGTGAGAATGTTGGGCTGGTGTCCCAGTTCCAAGACTGGGCAGTGAGTGGAGCTACTGGCGAGATAGGGCTGCCTGAAGTTGTGGATGGCGGACCCACAGTGACAGCGGGCTGGAATCACATTGCATGCCACTCATGCCCTCTCCCTACCAACTCTCCTCTGTTCCAGTATAACGCAGACAAGGCCATCGTGGACAGTGGCACCACACTTCTGCGCCTGCCCCAGAAGGTGTTCAATGCAGTGGTTGAGGCCGTGGCCCGCACGTCTCTGGTGAGTGCTCAGGGTGCTGATAAATCCCGGAGAGCACCAGGTCACGGCCACGTGCTGGGGAGCACTCCTGTGTATTCAAGCAGTCTTCATCTGGGGATTTTGAGGGGTTGGATTTTTTTTTTTAAACTATTACTAAGTCTGGGCGCCTGGGTGGCTCAGTTGGTTAAGCGACTGCCTTCGGCTCAGGTCATGGTCCCGGGGTCCTGGGATCAAGTCCCGCATCGGGCTCCCTGCTCTGCGGGGAGCCTGCTTCTCCCTCTCCCACTCCCCCTGCTTGTGTTCCCTCTCTCGCTGTGCCTCTCTCTGTCAAATAAATAAATAAAATCTTTAAAAAATAAATAAATAAATAAATAAATAAATAAATAAACTATTATTAAGTCTTATAACTTATCACAGCCTTACTCTTAACTAGCAAAGAATTTCTTCACGTTAACCTCAGGGAACTTGGATCTGGAGGTGCCATGCTGTTTACTATTTCAAATAATAGTGTAGTGGATGTAGTACTTTTTTTTTTTTTTTAAGATTTTTTATTTATTTATTTGAGATAGAGCATGAGAAGGGGGAGGGTCAGAGGGAATAGCAGACTCCCCGCTGAGCAGGGAGCCCGATGCGGGACTCGATCCCGGGACTCCAGGATCATGACCTGAGCCGGAGGCAGTCGCTTAACCAACTGAGCCACCCAGGCGCTCAGTACTTTTTTTTTTTTAATCTAAGAAAAAAAGCCTCTTGGTCACATTCTATGTTAAAGGAAATAGTGACCAATGAATATGTTCGTAGCCTTTAAAACAAGAGACACGAGCCCCAAATCATACTTTTTGGCCTTCATCCAGGCTGTGGTGGGATTCTAATTCTTCTGTAAATGTGATTCTCAGAAGACAAAGGTCAATCAGCCAGTATAATAATTACTAAAATCCTGCTCAAGAACAACATGCATTTTGTGAGAAGTGGCTGACAGCATTCCAGTATGGCCCTAACTTTCCAGTTGGTTCTGGGCACCAGGGTAGACCAAAGGCATTGATTGGGAAGAGCACAGCCTCAGGGGTGAGATGGACCCGAATGGGGGCTGGTTTCTGCCGCTCACTAGCTGGGTGCCCGGGGCGGGATTCGGGCCCTCGGAGTCTCCACGTTCTCATCGTGGGGCTGTCGGGAGGGCTGGCGTACGATGCACCCCGCACAGCGGTGCTCTAGAAGGAGAAGCATCTAACGTCCCACCGCGGTTGCTGGTGCTCTTTGTTCGAACGGGAGAAACGTTTCTCTCTGCTTCTTGGGTGTTTTCATAAGCCTTCCTCTGTACAGGGCCATCCTTGCAAGGTCACCAGAAACCAGCATCTCCTGTCCAAAGTCTTTATGCTGGTACTAACGCAGGCCTGACTGTCCCACGACTCCGCTGGCCGAATTCAGAGAATGATGGGGCGATGCATAGCGGTGCTTTGTTACAGGTTCTAGCAGGAGCAGGGGAAGGAGGAAGGGGCGTTTGGTTGTCCTGAGCCAGACTTCAGAGGTCTGAAACTGCTGTGGGAAGAGCAGCAAGTGAACTAAGAGAACGGACAGGAGCAGTGAAAAGGAAGTAGCTCAGAGGCCCCTTTTTGAGCTTGAAAGGACTTCAGGGCAGCAGTGGTCCAAAAGCCAGAGGAAAGCTCCTGTCTTGTCTCATATCTGCTGAATCAGAAAAAATGGCAAGGAAAGTTTTTAGTGCCCTAAATTCAGAATGCTGGCTGAAAATCAGACCATGCTTAAAATATGGAGCCATATGCTGATTTTCTTCAGTAGTGAAAATGTCCTCAGCAGACCTGACACGAGCATCTTCAGACGGAGTATTCTGGGCTGCAAGTGTGTGAGGACCATCCCGCAGAAATGCTCAAGGGCGTGCGGGTGAGCCTGGCTCGCCCTTGGCCAGCCCCGCCTCTGCAGAGCCCGTGGGGTGTCACAGCCCGTGGTCGGTGGTGACTGACTTTATAAGAAAACCACGAGGTAGGAGGAGTGGGATTACAGAATTTGTTTGCCTTATCTAAAATTAATCCTCTGATTTCAGAGCCTGTGTCAGGAAGGGGAGGACCCGGGAAGGTTCTCTGTCTTGGGCAAGAAAAGCCCAGCCAGGGCGGACAGGGTCCCTGTGTCCGCGTGCCTGGTCCAAAGATGGGCATGTTCTTTCTCACCTATCGAGTAGCGTTTCTTTCTGGTTAAGGGAATAACCTGGCTTTGGGGAATTAAATGCAGTGCATATGTTGGGCTCTGTCTCCTGGCCTGGTTTGTTCAGACGGGATTTTAGGAATGCATGGTTTATAGGTCTGTATTTTGAAACGGAGTTCTGTATATGGCAGAGACCCGGGCTCCCTCTCCTCATAGCTGCAGCGCCCTTGTGCTTGGCCCAGCGCTCCCCCATCTGTAAAATCCAGACGCAGGATGACACCTGCTTTAGGATGACTTCTGACTCTGAACTCCGTGATCTGAGGGTCAAAACCGTCCTCCAAGGACACGTGGCTTAGCCTCCGGGGAGGCCCTTGGACTCAGAGACGCCTCTTTCGAGGCAGATGGTCCCCCATCCGATTCAGAGCTGTGCCCCTTAGGTGAGTTTCCGGGCCTGATCCCTCATCTGCAAATTGGGGCTGCCCATGGGCACTGATGTTGGGCTCCCTGTCCTGGGCGCAGGCCCACCCAACCTCACCTTAGCTCATCCTTATGTCCAGCAAATGCCTGCACCACTCTATTGACTCATCTGCCCGCTGATACATAGTACAAATCGACTTAACTTTTACAAAAGGTAAAAATATATTAACGCCAACATTAGACATGTTACAGATCACTGACGGTTTCATAATGGATGGTCCATGTAATGGGTGAAAACCCCAGGGCGTTTTCTCCCCACTGTCTGGTCCTGGAGGGAGGGACGGATGGACGGAGCGACGAGGGCACGCAAGCTCGCACCTGCCGTGTATGGTCCCACAGCACACAGCACTCAGCGTTCATCCAGTGATGCTCCGATTCCTCAGTTGCCCTGCTTGGTCTCCGCACCATCCCCGCTTACCTGTCTTACCTTCCCTCCACTTCCATAGCACCCTCCTTCCTGGACTTCCTGGCCCTACGCCCTCTTCGTGGGTGTGTCCTTTGCCCACCCATCCAGGGTGGATCCTGGGCCCCTCCCTTCTCCCTGTATCCTCTCTAAAGGGATTCCCTCGGTGCCACATCAACACTTCCCACCCACCCTTAGTTACTCTCGAGTGGGCCTGACTAGACAGGAGTTTAGACTCAAGAACCAGTGGCCTATGTGAATCCCATTTGGACTCCTAAATCACACCCGGCTTGCCACAAAGCTCAGATCTCTGACACATGATCTCTGATGAAGACGCCAAGGCCACCAGGATACCCTCTGTCCCCCATCTCCTGCTCCTTCCCGTTGGTCGCACTGGCCTCCACGGCTGCCATCTGTTTTCTCCAGTGAGGCAGCTTCCGTGCTCGGCCCGCCCTCCTTCAAATTCATCTCCTAGGGCTCCCTGGCCCTTAGCTCAGCTCAGCTTCCTGGGGATGCTCCCTTGACAGTCACTTCTTACTCCACGTCAGTGCTCTCCTAGCTCCGCCCCATCATATACCCTCCGAGCTCTGTCCCATCCCTTGCTCTCCTGGCCCCGCCCCATCCCCTGCTTTCCTGGCCCCGCCCCATCCCCCTGCTCTCCTGGCTCCGCCCCGTCCCCTGCCCACCTGGCTCTCTTGGCCCCGCCCCATCCCTTGCACTCCTAGCTCCTCCCCATCCCATCCTTCCCTAGCTCCGCCTACCCATACACTCCTACCTCCATCGCATACACTATTAGCAGGTGCAGGACAGGTCGGGTCTGCTCAGGAACCTTCCCTTGCTCTGGTGAGATAGTGGGAGTTATTTGTAGTTAATTGGAGAATTTAGCGACTAGTGCGCATGTGCAGGTGGCATCGCTCATTGTCAGGTTCAGCAGACCCCTGCTGGGAGGCTGAGGTGGGCACTCTGTGTTCTTGACTGTTCATTTTTCCCACAGCTATTTCCCGAGTCTCTCCTGTGGGCTAGGTGTTAGAACTGTAAGGCGAGCAGACAATACATCTCTGTTCTTTGAGGACTCAGATTGTAGTGCAGGAAAGAGAATGTAAGCAGTTGCACCCATAAATGTCACATTACAGCTGCTACGAGGGAAAGAGCAAGGCGAGAGCTCTGTGGCAGGTAATCAGCACGGTGGGGAGGGCTTCCTGGAAGGTGGTATCTGAGCTGATGTCTGGAGGAGGAGAAAGATATTCCAGAAGAGCAGAGAGCCCGCGCAGGGCTCTGCACCAGGAGGACGAGTGCTGTGCTCGGAATTCAGAGCCCCAAAAGGGTCTGGAGGGCCACATATCGGATGTATTCTCTCTTCTAAAGGGCCATTGCCCGCTACTGAGGCCTTGGGCACATTGCTTCAGCTCTGTGTGCTCTGGTTTCCTCATCTGTAATGTGGGGCGCGGGGGTGCCGCTCCTGGGCCGCTGGGGCTTTTCGAGGACTAAAGTCATCAGTGCTGCAGAGGGTTTACAGCGGTGCCTGGCACCGGTCGGTACTCTGCGTGCCTGCCTGTGCCTAATCTTGATAGCTGTGGATTTGTCATCACCGGTCCCTTCCAGAGGACGGCTGTCTCCACCGCGCCGTCCAAAGGAAACATTGTTTACCGCCGCAGGCATCTGGCGAGGTGATGAGGGGAGCTGGGAGCCATTTCCTGTTGATGTGCCAGACTAGTCCTGGCTTCTCATGTGATCTCCTTTTGTCCAGATTCCAGAATTCTCTGATGGTTTCTGGACTGGGTCCCAGCTGGCTTGCTGGACGAATTCTGAGACACCTTGGTCTTACTTCCCTAAAATCTCCATCTACCTGAGAGACGAGAACTCCAGCCAGTCGTTCCGTGTAACCATCCTGCCTCAGGTATGAACTGGCACCTGTGCTTTTCTCCGGGAACACGCACCACGCCGAAGTGAGGCGCTTCGTGCCTCATGCGCCTAGGTAGGTAGCATAGTGGTGCTGTGGGACGGCCGAGAAACCGGGCGGCCCTCATCAACGAGCCTGCACCCCTGCTTGGGCGTGCACCCCTGCTCGGGAGTCTGGGCAGGCCCGCTGCTCTGAGCACGCTGCGCGCACGGGGCCCAGGCAGCCCAGACCCTGGGCTGGGGAAGTGGACCTACCTCCCAGCAGGAGAGGCCGGCTGCGTGGTCCCATCCCAAGGGCCTGGCAACGGGGAAGGCCGGGAATGGAGGACATTTGTGCAGCATCCATCAGAGCACCAAAATACATTCTTTTATTTATCTTAAAGATTTTATTTATTTGAGAGAGAGAACGAGAGAGCACAAGCAGGGGGAGCAGCAGAGGGAGAGGGAGAAGCAGACTCCCCGCTGAGCAGGAAACCTGACAGGGACCTCGATCCCAGGACCCCAGGACCATGACCCGAGCTGAAGGCAGATGCTTAACCAACTGAGCCACCCAGGTGCCCCCCAATATGTGCTTTTTAAAAGGAGAATAAAACTGGACCCTCAGAGAGATGAAGACATCCTTTTGTTTTCCATATTCAATAAGTCACTGGCTCCTTTCTCCTCCTAAGCTTCTAATCAAACAAAGCGTGTTCTGCCCTGCTCAGTCATGCTTCTCACCTCCTCCCGGTTCCGGAGGCTCTCAGGTCCCTTATTGCACCCCTCCGGGAACCTCCAAGTATGCTCCGTGTAGCCCAGTCCCCTCCTTTCTGCCCTTAAAGCCATTGCCAGATGATCTTCCTAGGTGGCATCTTCCAGCCTGCTGTCCCTGCTGTGAGCCATCAGTGAGTCCCCACTCGGTGCATACTGATGTCCTTACTCCCTGTGGCTCTCGGTCCTCACTGGACCCTTCCACGCCCTTGACCTGCCACTCACCAGTCAGTGTCCTCCCAGGCTTCATGCTAGCTCACTCTCCTGACCTTTACTTCTGCCACCGCCCCCCCGCCAGAAATGCCCTCTCCTCCCCCACTCCCTCTGCATATCCAGATTCTTCCCATCCTTCAAGATCCAACTCAAACAACCCCTCTTTTGTTGAACCTCTCCTGAGCAGAATAACCCGTTTGTGAGCCTGCCCTTCAGACTCCTAATGCATGCTTCCTAGTCTACTCATCCCACAGGCAGTCACCCCTTTAGGGGGTATTTTATACTGTTGCCTTTTTCGTTGGACTTCTGTTTTCTTTAAAAGCACATACACACACTTACAGTTCTTCCTCCGTTACGTTAATTCCTTGCAGAGGAGAACCATGAGATCGGAGATCCTTGCTCCTTCCCTGGCACGAGCGTGCATGGAGACTAGTGTGTAATCACTGTTTTTTTGAACAGACAGATCAATGTGTCTTTGTCGTGATTTGGTGACTTTGGGACGAAGGGTGGGATTGGGGGATAGGGAAGGAGGAATGATTTCAGAAGTAAAAAGGAAGTGATAATGCTGCCTTTTCCCTTCTCCACTTTATACGTGGAATGGGGGGTTACTGGGGAAGAGCCTGAGAGCCTCAGGAGAAAACACGGCTGGACAGAGGACACGCTGACCGAGGCTTGAGTTACATGCTCAAGTTACATGCTCAGCTCCGCCCCTGACTCAACGCTGTAACGTGGAGCAGATCACTGAGCCCTTTCTCCGTCTGTCCCTTTAACTATAAAGGGAGGAATCGTAGTACTTGCCAAAGAAATTTTCACTGCACACAGTGATATGTTTCCTGCATCTTTAAAATAATTGCTCTTTATGATGAAATCTTGGCCAGTCGAGCAGCACGATTTGGACAGTATTTCCTCAGTGTGGTTTGTAACTAAAGTTGAAGCCTAGCTTCAGGACAGAGGTGAGCGTGTGATCGTAAATAAATGGCGGGGGCGTTGGTTGGCAGAATCAGGGACTCGTAAGATGCAGGAGAAAACAGGCATTCTGGGGAAAATCTACGACGTCCAGGGCGGGTAGTAGCCGCCAGAGCTGGAAGGTGACTGGGGCTCGGCAGCTGGTTCCAGGACCGAGCACGGGCCGGGGGCGGGAATCCAATGAGGGAGGCTTGGGAGTGTTGCCTTTAATTTTTGTTATCTGTGCGTGAGAATCCATTATTATTCTCACGAGACTCTAGATATTTTTTGGTTGGCTTTGACAAGTTCACATTTTTGGTTTTTAAAAATCTGCTTCCCCTGCTGTTTTCCTGATTTCTTACTCAACATTCCCCTTCCCTTTTCTTTCCATCGCCTCCTTGGAAAAGGGCTTGGATGGGCAGTTGTGAACCATCCTGTGCCGATAACCTCACAAGTTCTGTATGTCACTGACACAGCCCTTGGGGTCAGCGCTGGGGGGTCACCTCCCAACGCCGCAGTTCTGCCTGCCTGCCCCCCTCGCCCTAACGTTTAGGGCAATCATCAGGGCTCCTTCCCAGAATAGGGCCCGTGTCCAGGACCTTTCTGGCATCAGCAGGACTAGATGGGCATATGCTTGCTGGTGCAGAAAAGAGTTGTGTCAAAGGCAGTTATCTTAAATTTTGTCTGTCTGCACTCTTTCCCAAAAACACATGAGCTGCATCTTTTTTGGCCCGTTGACAAAAGCAGCCCCCAACCCCAGCCACGGGCAAATTCTGGTTTTCTTTTCCACATAACCCTAAAAATGTAAATAATTTCAGTCTATCACTGGTTGGTCTATTTGTGCTATTTTAGTTGAAGACAGACAGTTTATTCTGAGATTTAGCAATACTTCAGCTTTCCCCAGCTTGTTACAGCATCTACAGTCTGGAACTTTCATTGGCAGTCAGCTGGGACACACAAGGAGTAAAAGATACAAATTCGGTCTGCATATTTTTGCATCAATATCCTCAGTTACGCGATAGGTGATAATTGATTGGGTTTTATTATAGAATTAGTTCCTTCAAAGGCCGGGGTGTGTTTGTGTGTGTGTCCACGTACGTTCCTAGGGCTTGCTTACAGACCCTTAGGTGAAGGTGCTGTGGTGGAAGGTCAGTGATCCCCTGCCTTTGCCTAATTTGAGTTAATCGTGAGAAGTTGGGTCTTTCGTTTGATGCTCATCAAGCTCAGCACCACTCCCTGACATCACCTGCATTGATTGAAACCCTCCTGGGTGCCTCCCCTACCCTCACAGCAGCCGAGGGGCCAGGAGCATAGCGGAGAACAGAATGAATGATTCCTTGCCTCGAAGCGGCGCTTGCAGGCAGACAAACCCGTCGTGGAGGGTTCTCACTGCGGGCACAGTTCTGGACCCAGTAGCTGCTCCATGTCTAGCCATTGATGACGCCAGGAGCTGTCATAGCTCTGTCCTTGCTCACCCCCGCCCTGACAGCCCCTCTCCCTCTCGCCGTCCGGCGCTGGCAAGGGCGGTGAAGTTCATCTTCCTCGGGTGTCAGCCTGATCATATTCTCTTTCTCTAGTACAACTTCTGGTTTCCTTTTCTGCCCAGACGTTAAATAGTGCTCCTGTGTTTCCCTCTCCTCGGGGCTGGTGCTCGGTCCCGCCTCTATGCTGTGGTTTGCCTCCCGGCTGCACCCCTCCCTTGTCACCCTGGTGCAGCCCCTCCCTGCCGCACCCTCTAAAAATCCCCACCCCTCCCACTCCCTCCGGCCACAATGCTCCGGGCTCCCAGCCTCTCCCTCCGTAATCTTTCTTGCGCTTTTACCCCCTTAGGGCTGGTCAGTACTCACAAGAAAGTCCTTCTTCCTACTCATTTTGCCCTTTATTGCTTTTTTTCCAGATATTTGGTATTTTGTCTTTCTAAGGCGCTCTATTCTCTTGTTTGCCTGCATTTGAATACTTTGCTGTTAAAACACAAAGGGATTGTTCTCACCAAGCTGACATTGGTTTGCTCCTTGATTAAGTTTTGACTCATTTCCTCACAGGCTCTGCCCCCAGAGGACCTCAAGGGCCATGTGTTGTTGTTGATGGAACATGCACAGCCCGTGGTCCTTATCCTCATGGGAGCTTCCTACGAGGGGGTGCTGGGTCTTCTCCCTGTGACATCTTCTGTCTCTCTGAGGAAATAAGTCATCCTGCTTCCACCCTGCTGCCTACTTTTAAGCTCTCTTTGGCAGAGGATGACAAAGACGGCATCCTGGGGCCAGTTGGGAGCATTGCGGTCTCGCAGGAGAGCAGAGGATGCTAATGGTCTGGAAGCCATGGGGATGGGAGGCGGGATTGGATTCAGATGCCATTTCAAAGGAGGGCCTGCAGCCTCTTGTTATGGTTTCCAGGTGGGGAAAGAGATCCTGGCCTGGTGCTGTAGGGCCTGAGGAAGTGAGTGAATCACAGACCTACTGAAACAGAAGACTTTGAAAAAAAGCAGATTTGGGGAGCCTGTTGAGTGTGGCCAAGGCAGCAAAGATCTGGCTGGAGGTCAAGATTTGGGCATCAGCATAGAGCCCTGGGCTGTGCTTAGGGCCTTGGGGCCACATGGGTCACCTGGGGTGGGCGTGGGGGCAATGGCCACCAGGAGGCTGGAGCCCTGGCGTTCTCTGATGCTTACAGTGAGGAAAGTAAAGTGAATCCTACAAAGGTGTCTGAGAAGGAGCAGCCAGTGTTGGGAGGAGGACGAGACAACCCTTTCTCAGAGGCCAAGGGAAGGAGGAGATTTGAGGGGGAGAGTTAGCTGGTCCACATTACAGTAGAGGGGCCCGTCGCACTCCACATTTACTCACCTGCCCCCTCCCGGGATGGGAATCCTCAAGGGCGTGGGACTGTGTGTTGGTTGCTGGTACTGAGGCATTATCTAGGCCATGCCACGTGCTGGATGGATGGACGGATGGACGGACGGGTGGATGGGTGCCCCTGTGTGTAGTTGCAGGCAACGCACGTGTTTTTATCACTTTCAGGAATGTTTATTCACCATGCTTATGATGTCATCTTCCAGGTGGCAGGGACCCGGCAGGGTGATGTCATCTCCTCCCCTCCCCCCCACCCCCCGCTCCCGCGTCGCCCCACGGCACCTGGGAGGGTTGGACCGCGCTGTGGCCTCGACAGCTTTGTGATGTTGCCAGATTCATGCTTCCCCCTGTCTGTGTGCTCCCTCCTCATAAACAGCTCTACATCCAGCCCATGATGGGGGCGGGCCTGAATTATGAATGTTACCGGTTCGGCATTTCACCTTCCACGAACGCGCTGGTGATCGGTGCTACCGTGATGGAGGGCTTCTACGTGATCTTCGACAGAGCTCGGAAAAGGGTGGGCTTTGCGGCCAGCCCCTGTGCAGGTAAGAGGTGCGCGCGCTGGACGGGAGCCCCAGCTGGAGTACTCGACGTCCGTTCACTGACTTGGGAGCAACTGTTGATGATGGGTCAGTTGCCTTTGAATTGTTTCCCACAGGCCCGTTATCCGTGGTGGGTGGTATCAGTAAGACTCACGGCAGGATGCAGAGAGGAGGAAATGAGTCCCTCCGTGTAAAACATTTAGTCCCGTGCTTGACACATGGCAAATGCGTGATCGACGTTAGTATTGTGATTATTTCTCACTTTAAAGTTAAGATGGTATCTCACACCACAGAGTAAAGAGGCCTTGGGGAAGAATTACAGTTTTTTGATAGGGAAATTAAAACAAATAAAGATTCATGAGTAAGCTATGTATTTTTTTTTCCATCAAAGCAATCTTCGTTGTGCAATAAGAAGTAAATGCCTATCATTGCTATTTCTTGAAATCCTAAAATGATGAGATCAAGGAGCGTGTTTTTCTCCCAGAACCCCTTTGAAGAGCTGGTTTGGGGGTGAGTTAGCAGCATTGCTCTGCGATGCTGAGCTTGAAGGTTGGGCCAGTGTTCAGGGAAACCACAGGAGAGAGGGCAGGAAAGGTGATGGGTGGGTAAACCCCCAAACTCGAAAATGTCTGTAGATGAACAGTTTGCTAGGATGGCGTGTCCACATAGTGCAAGGTTTACTGGGAGGGTCGGGTACCTCCGGCAGAAAAGGCCAGTCCTAGATGTGGGCATGAGCTGGGATCGCTGGGGACGCATGGAGAGCGCATGACCAGGCAGTGGGATTTCAGGGGACCGACAGATCCTGGCATGTGGGATTCAGAGTTGGCGGGTAACATGCCAATGGAGAGAAAAATTAAGCACATGTGAGACAGCCAAGAGGTGGGACAGGAGAATATGAGAGGCTGTGGGTTGAGACATGGGTCCCCACGCAGTGCGGGGAGGGAGGTGTGAATTTGATGGAACACTCAGGATAGTGACCCACAGGCAGGAATGCTGGCTGAGCCGGTCGCCCTGACCCTGACCGGACCTTCACTGGGATCTAAAACCAACGGGGAAGTCTGGGAGAGAGCCATGGAGATTGGGGGGCGGGGGGGGGGCCAGGTTGTGCAGGCCAAATGTCAGATGATCTCAGTTGATTTATTCCAGAGGGAGACATTTCAGGTCTTATTTACTATCCAACTTGCGGTGGTAAAATGGGAATCCTGGTAAATAAAGCAGGTCAGTCATGCTTCCTATCCTTGTTTGGACACACGGGCATTCCCAGAGGGTGAAATAACAATTTGGAGAGTGGGAGGAGATGCATATCAAAGGGAAAATTTACATCTGGAATATTAGTCCAACTCATATGCTGCATAAATAAAAGCACCCAACACCATGTACATACTTGATTGTTGCAAATCCCTTCTTAAGTGTTAACGCCGTGCTTTCTCGCTCTGCATTGGTGAACGGGCTTGGAATCCTTGGGGCTTGTCATTTTGTCATCTTTGTCGGGAGTGAATGTTTACCTCTCAGAGTGCATTAACTGTTTTTAGCCTGGGAGGTATCCCTGGAGAGACCTTCCTCTGTGGCGTTACTCTGTCTCCCAGCTGTGAGTATTTCACATCTTGTAACCCAGAGAACTAAGCACTAAAGCAATTTTCCCCCCAATTTCTGTTCTCTTGTTAAATACCATGAAAATAGAGGCTACTATGGCAACAGCCCTTATATCGTCCACTTAATAGCGTGGAGCGAGTAATCACTGCTCCTCCTAAGTGAATTGCTGTTGGAAATAGTTTAATATTAAGTGTCTGCCAGCAAAGCAACATTCATTCCTGCGTTTCAGTGTGAATTCTTTGTTAGGTGTGCTTATGGGAGTTTTTTTGTTACTATTTAAAAAAAAAAAAAAAGGCGTATTTAAGGTTTTGGTACTTAAACATTTGATTTTACCAGCACTGGGAATAGACACGGATATGTCTCCTCTTCCGCGCAAACTGTTCAGCCATTAAAGTAATTACTTCCTCCAAGCTGCAAATTAGGAGCCAGACAATGGTCTCTAGGGCTGTAATAAATGGAAGAGGTACACTGCCTTTTTTTCCCTCTTTTTAAAAGTGTTTATTTTTAATTTATCACATGCTTTAAATAACAAAATGATTTAAGTCCTAGGAAGTCATGTGCTTTGGGCACACTTATGGAACACCCAGATTTAACAAATGCTAACATTTTGTCGTATTTTCTTCAAAAATTTGTTACAGAAACAAAGTAAGTATAGCTTAAAGCCCCACCCCACTGCCTTCCCCAGAATGACCCTTTATCCTGAACCTGGTGTCCATTCTTCTCAGAATTACTACGCACTTAAGATTTGGCTACATAGTTACAAGTGCCTTGGATTAGTTGTCTTTTGCTTGGTAACAGTTTAGCCCCACCCCACGTTTAGCAGCACTGTCTGACCTTGTGCAGGTGCTGAGGGTCAGGATCGAGGAGCAGCTTAGCTGGGTGGTTCTGGGCTAGGGTCTCCCGTGGGGTGGAGGGTCCTACTGGAAGCTCACTCAGTGTGGTACATGAGAGGAGCCCTCCTTTCTAAACCATTGGGACCTCCCGCCAGGCTTCCCTGAACATCCTTAAGATGAGCACCCGGTCACGCCAGAGCAAGTGATTCCAGAGAGTAAGAGTGCCACAGAGCACCCACACCACAGTCTTTTTGCACCCAGTTTTGAAAGTGACATGCTGTCACTTCTGCCCTGTTCTGTTGGTTGCTCAGAACAACCCTGGCCCAGTGTGGGAAGGGATTACACAAAAGTAAATACCAGGGAGCAGGGATCATTGGAGTCCCCTTAGAACCTGTCTCCCGTCTACCTATAAATAAGTAGAAGTGCCATATAACAAAACGTTGGTTGGTTGGTTGGTTGGTTGTGGGGTTTTGGAATTTTTACATGTATGTGAATGCTCTACAGTACTGTGCATATCCTTTTTCAACCTGCTTGATTGCTCAGCATTACACATTTACTGGATCTTCCCTGTTGATAGGAGTACTAGGTCACTCATTTTGACTGCTGTGTAGTATTCTGTTCTGTGAATATACCCAGATTATTTACCCAGTTCTGCCTTGATTATCATTTGGTTTGTTTCTAACATTCGCATTCATAAACAGCACTGCAGTGAACATCTTTCTGCATGCTATTGAGATCTTCCGAAAATGGAATTTCTAGGTGGTTTGGTATGCTAGTCCTCAGCATTACTGGCTACTGTCAGATTTGTCTTCCAAGCAGCTGGACCATCACAACTACATAAGAACGTTCACTTGTTTTGTTTTGTTTTTTTGCCAATCTGTATGAAATAGTGTCACAGTTTGATTACTTCTGAGATGATGCAACTTTTTTTTAAAAGATTTATTTATTGCGGAGGGAGAGGGAGAGAATCTCAAGCAGACTCCCCACTGAACGTGGAGCCCATCTCTTGGCTCAATCCCAGAACCCCGAGATCATGACCTGAGCCAAAACCAAGAGTCGGACGTTCAACTAACTGAGCCATCCAGGCACCCCAAGATGATACAACTTTTGATATATTTATGGGGTGTCTGAGCTTTTTTTCTGATGGTGAATTTTTCTACCAATAGCTTATGTACATTTTTCTACCTATCTTTTTTATTGATGTCTATACATTCTTAATATTTGATCCATTAATTTGGGGGGCTTATGCGTCGTAAATAATAACTGCTAATCTCTCTGGATTTCTTCTACTTGTTTTTAATTATCTTTCATTTACATTTTTTGAAATTTAGTGAGATAAAATGTACCAATGTCTTCCTTATGGCTTTTACTCTTATTTAAGAAATTTTTCTTCAATCTCAGGAAGTAGAGATTTTTTTCGAAAGATACAGTGTACTTCCCCCTGCCATTTTCTCATATAATGTGAAGTAGGAATCTAATTTTTATAAGGACATTCAGTTTTCTCAGCATTATTTATTGAATATATTACCCCCTCTGTAGTGTACAGAAAAGACTAAAAATAATGCAATGATGTCCTACATACCCACCATCTAGATTTTTGTTTTTTAAGATTTTATTTATTTATTTGAGAGAGCAAGCATAAGCAGAGGGAGAGGGAGAAGCAGGCTCTCCACTGAGCAGGAAGCCTGTTGCAGAACTCGATCCCAGGATCCTAAGATCATGACCTGAGCCGAAGGCAGATGCTTAACCAACTGAGCCACCCAGGCACCCCCCCCCCACCACCTAGATTTGGTAATTTTTACATTTTGTCATATATCAGTGTATGTGTATATGTAGTTTTTGTTTGAACCATTTACAAATAGGTTGCAGATATCATGACATTTTACCCCTAAATATTTCACTCCATAATATTTCATCCATAAATATCTCTTAAAAATAAGGACAGGCTCATACATAAATGTAATACCATTATGACACCTAATAATTTAACAATATTTACATTGTATTATATAATATCTAGGCCGTATTCAGATTTCCTCAGTTACCTAAAAAATGGTTTCCTTAGCTATGGGTTGTTGTTTTTTTTCTTTTGGAGGCCAATTTTTTTGTAGAATATATCCTATTCAGATTTGTCTGGATTTTTCCTAATAGTATCGTTTAACATGTTTATTTAACTTTACATTTATTTCTATAAACTTGAACTTAGGTCTAGAGGCTTGGTTAGATTCAGGTTAAATTAATTTTGCAAGATATCTACTAAATTTTAATAACCTCTTTGTCATATACCAAGACCTGGTATGTATCTGGATCTGTTCTTTCTTTTTTCTTTTTTTTTAAGATTTTATTTATTTATTTATTTATTTGAGCAAGAGAATGAGAGAGAGAGAGCATGAGGGGGGTAGGGTCAGAGGGAGAAGCAGACTCCCTGCCGAGCAGGAAGCCCGATGCGGGACTCCACCCAGGGACTCCAGGATCATGACCTGAGCCGAAGGCAGTCGCTCAACCAACTGAGCCACCCAGGCGCCCCTGGATCTGTTATTTCTGAGCATTCTCTTTTATCCCATTGGTATATTTGCT